TAAATAAAATACATTGATAGATTCTGCCCGGATATTGGTAATGGGAATTCACAGGGCAGATTCAAGACACAGTTGATATCAGTAGGTACACCGGTGTCCACAAATATAGTTGAATTCTGTAATAAATATTAAAAGCACTACAAGACATCTTGTTTCATATTTTGGTGAATCATTGGAAAACAATTATCTTCATGAATCTTGCGAAAGAAAAATCACGCTGGATGAATTAAACAAAATGCTTTGAACTATGATTTTTATACATGCATGATAATTTCTTAAAGAGAAGGCTAACAAAGATTTAGATTAATTTGCATCTTAATTTAGAAGAAAAAACTATTCATTTCAATATTTTTCACAAAACGATAAAATATATATTACCAAATATATTTATCAAAAAAAAAACCCATTAAGTTACCCTGTATATTTCATATTATTCTTTGTGAAATAAATACATGTATTATCTTTTAACACTAAATGAAATAGAAAAAAAACGTACTGCTGTTATATTTGCAGAAGGGTTTCTTGGTATTGGGATATGTGAAACTAAAATAAAGAATAAAATTCCATAAAATGACATTAATTGAATGACAATTCTATATAATTTGAAACCAAGAGAAATACGCCACCATTATTCTGACAGTTTCTTCCACTGACTCCCACCGGACAAATACACGTGAAGGACTGGTCGTTAGAAAAACAGTATCCTTTATTACAAGATACGTGTTGACAATGGGAAGCTGAAAAGAGAAAAATATGCTTATCTTCTTATGAACAAATTTCTATAAAAAAAATAATCTGAATATCATAAACAAAAATAAAAATCCCTTACTTGTGGAATTGAGCGATGGATTAACAATGATGCATCTTTTCACGTTGGAACTATAATAAAAAATAACAAGAAGGGTTACATTCTTTCAATCGCAATTAAATTTTCAATATTTTTTGCAAAACAAAGATATTTTAGTTAAATGCAAAATGTGTTTTGTGTTATTAGATTCTTTTACTAGACAAGCATTATAAAACATAATGCCTTTTAGAATACAAGTAATACCTTTGGGCCCCAATGCAAATCTTCTTAGTTTCTGTGTGCTGCACCCGTGTGACGACGTCAGTGACACAAAGGTTGGGATCAAAGCTAGTCACTTTTGTACTTACAATGACTGTTCCTGATGTGTGTGGTAGCTCCTTTGGCTCTTCACTAAAGAATCACAAGAATGAAATCGAAATATATACATGAAGTTGATATTTGTTCATAATTTGCAATGTCGTTCCTTACCATTTACCACTGTGATCTTTTGAAGTATGTATCAGCAAATGACAGTCTGTGTTTTCTAAACATCGAACAGAAGAAGAATCGGGAAGTGTTGGTTCTTGTAGGCCCTGAAATAATATTAAACAGGTTATATTTTTTTCGCTGTAACCGATGTTATATTTTTAATCTTTATTCCTTTACTAATAAACACTCATGTAATTCTTTTATACGTACACTAGAGGGTGGCTTGGTAGGCAATGCAGATGTAAAATTGACTTTAAAGCAAATTTCATCACCTTTCAAACTACAATTCAATAAACATTGTAAATTTATGATCTCTACCACTAAGCCTTTTTTTCTTTTATTTAGAAAATAGGTACTGTAGATCACTAAATTTTCGCGACACCTTACTTTCGCGAGAAAGTCATTGACTCTTGATTAGCAAGACAAAATTTTCGCGAATTATGGTTATTGCTCTATACAATCTTACGAAATGTTATTATACACGAGAATTAAATTTTCGCGATCACACTGTTTCGCGTAATTACGCGAAAATAAAGTTCTCGCGAATAAAAAGTGATTTACAGTAATTAGCATCATAAAATGTAATATAAGAAGTTTCAATCAAAACAATCACTGCTCGGCAGATTATATTACCTTTTATGAACAGTATTAATACATATTTTACGTTGACCCTCCTTTGTTGCCTTTAGTTTGATGTTTGTTTGATAGGTAGAATTTGAATCTCCTGGGAACGTGTCTGTTTTTACAGGATGGATAACAAAAGGACTGTCTGTATCAACGGTGGGGCTATGAAAAAAAGATAATCAACTTCAAAGATACTCTGAATCCAGATTTTTTTTAAAAAAATAAGCCTTTTGAAACATTTTCCTATTTTCTTTGAGGAATGACTATATCATAAATGGCCCATAAGGATATCTTACATGTCTCCAGGTGGACCGGTAACGATTAGAGGCACTCCACAAGGTGTGCCAATTGAACACTGTATTACCTCCGGTATGGCAGTGTCCGTAAATACTGGTACAGTGTTGTTTTGCTATAAGATTAAAACGATTATATTATGATCATGTTCTAAATCATGATTCATGCTTAAAAAAATATGAGTGGAACCTGCATTTGGTGTTCAGAATTCACCAAAAATACTTATTATTTACCTTGCCCGTGTTCCCTTGGTTTACTGGGGGAGAAAATCGGCCTGAAAAAAAATATGCCGTGAAAAATAAATTAAATGGAATATGTGTCAGATAAGAAATAAAATGGTAGTAATTTGGTATAAAACAAACTTTTCTGGCAGGTGCTTCCTGTAATTCCAACAGGGCATATGCATGTTGACTTTGAAGCAGAGGTTGCGTCACATCGTCCGCCATTGTAGCAATGTTGATCTTGACAAGGTCCACCTTGCAAATATAAACCATGAAATATACGTTATATTAGTAATTCGTCTTGTGAATACTCGTACAGGGAGAAGATATTAGTATATTGCATGCTAGTATTTTCATATGCATCAAGGATAATCATTGAAAAACTTCGAAAACTACGGAGCATACCATATGTTTTACTGCCATTTGTTACCACCTGGATAATATAACATCTCTCGTCTCCTACTTTCCTAAAATGGAAAAAAGACAGAAAGACAATATTATACGAGTGTCAATTATTGTTGTTCTATACCTCAAATATGTAAGCACCATACATGAAAAATAAAATGTTTGAAACCTACTCTTCTTGTCTTGCCCTTATACACAGCGAGTGATTACCCGGTGCGCTGGGTTTCACTGACAAATCTGTGTAACATACTGAATGGGATGCTGTGACCGTCTCAGATGTAAAATCATGAATGTTTACTAACGAAGAAGTTGGCGTGTTTTCCACTCTTGGACTGCAATTTAAAAATACATTGTAATATTTTTATACATAAAGATTACCTTTTCCACTAAAAATTGTGAACCATAATAGACCCCAGTTCAATCCCTGGTATATATAATTAAAGAAAACAACATTTTTATTTTCGTTTACGTTATCCCTACCAAGATTGTGATCCTGGTGTTGGCTTCGTCACGAGCTGTATATGACAACTGTCCAGTGCACTTTCACATTGTAATACTGTTCCATCTGGCAATGAGGGGGAGACTATTTCTGGTGTTGCCTGTTTAAAATCATTGTACTTTGTTAGGGACATCCTTTCAAGCAACCTATAACAATGCTTCTTGGGACTCAGTACAGAAAAAAAATCAGAGAGAATAATATTCAATCTGATAACCACTTGCTACATTTGAAACCAATCTTCGACAAATGCTTATGATATACATATATAAGCGATAGTTGGATGAGTAAACCTTAGCTGAGATTTTATTGAACAAATGTTCTTGTTTAACATTGATTTTATTTTATTCATGGTATTGAAAAAATCGAGGGGTCCATAGTATTTGGACTAAATACAGGGTTCCTTTATGACACAATACAAAGATAATTAAATTTTTTTCTCTAAACTTTTGAATGTCACTTACGAGTGGCGTTGTTGTGGACAAGGTATTATCTGAAATACATTTTGTTCTGTTATAAAAAAAATCTTCCATATATTGAATTGTTAAATATAAATACCAGCATTATACTTTTAAAAATGAATTACTCATTATGTGATTTGCAATTTTTTACCTGGTATGATCTTTACGTTGACGCAGATTTCATCAGTGTTCCTGCAAAAGTTAACAAACACTGAGAATAAAAATAAATAAATAAATAAAAAATAAATAAAAACTCAAATAAAATTGTTAGTAGGAAAATGCTTACGTCATAGAATTTTTTGTTTGAACGCAGACTAGTTTTGTTCCGGTTTGTGATGGTATGACATGGAATTGTGCTATGGATTGATTGACTGGTTTTGTGAAATCTATAAGATTAATTTGTTTTGGCTCGACTCCTTTATCCAAATGTCCAAAAAGTAAGGAACTCCTGTTTTATAAAAAAGATTCTTTATTCTCACTTTCTATAACAAACGGCATTGACGAGGAATATACAGAAAATTATAATCGTTATGTCTTACTTATTCACTGGGCTTCCATGCACGGGTAGCATTATAGGGCAGTCTTTGTTCAAATGGCACGTTATTTCTTTTGGTAACATTGTGTTCACAAATATTGGTGAAGACTGTAAAAATATATAATTTGAAAATATGTTTTTGGCAATTGATTTCTTGTTAAAAGTTGATTTCATTTAAGAGATTCACTCACGTTTGAAAACTTGTTAGATGGCCGTGGTACTGGTATAGGTTGTGCTGAAATTAAAAGTATTTGAAACTCCTTTGTTTGACCTTGTTTGTTTTTTTTTTTCAATTTATATCCACGCTGTGTGTAAATTTCCTTTTGTTTTTTTAACCAACTTAATTTTTTTACTTAAAAAATTCATAGAAGTAAACTTACTTGTGTTTTCACAATGCATCCCTTTATATCCAAGTTTGCATATACACACGTAGGAAGTAGAAGTTGACTTGCAATAGCCACATGCTCCACAAGGTTTACTATTGCAATGTGATTCTAAAAAGATCAATAAAGAGATTATTTATCATTAAAAGTTCAAAGTTATTATTTTAGAAAATGTCAATCAGTTTATATATTTTTCTGAACTCTTTTTTTCCATAGTTGAGATTCTTACTTGTTAAATTTGTCACTGCATTCACAGCTATGCATCTTTTATCTGCGGATCTGTAATAAATGAAAATCGGTAAAAGAAAGATTTTGAAAAGCTAATGTTAGCACTTACGGTAAAAAACAGACTTATAATACCACTTTGTACCCGAAAAAAAAAGAAATTATTAAAGAAAATTGAACTTGAAAAGACTACGAAATTAAATGTAATTACATCTTGGAAAGGCATGTGGATAAACGTTGGATTGAAACACAAGCAAATAAATATGTCAATTTTTTATATGTTATAAAATATATGAACAACGTACCCATTTACTTCAAAGCAAAGTTTCTTTGTTTCGCTATGTTTGACAATCGTTGCAATATCTGTTACACACAAAGTGTGATCAAATGTTGTCAAGCTAGTTGTGAGAACTGTAGTTCCGGATGAGAATGGAGCTTGTCTTGGGATTAAGCTTAAATAATACAGGTAGAAAATTGAACACATTGAACATTAGGAACAAGATTAGAATCGAAAGAAGTCTATTGTTAGAAAAAATCATATTGTAGATGAAGCCTATGAAAACATTAAGCAAATAAATCGTCTAAATGATCAATTAAATAAAGAAATGTATGATTAAATTTGATAAAGGAAATATTATCTATTAGAAACATCATACTTATTTGTACTAGAAAATTTACGCATTTTATTTCGAAAGGTTAACAAGAGGCCCATGGGCCACATCGCTCACCTGAGCACATTGGCTAGGAAATAAAGCAAAAATCACCTGAGTATTGAGAAGTTTACATGGGGGAGGGGTGTCTGGAATTCTAAACTACCAACTACTTGATGATTGATGATACTTCCATATAACAAATGCTGTTTTTGAGCAGATGATTTTTTTTCCTATTTATTCATTTGACCCCCTCCCCCCATTGTGGCCCATTCCTAGCCATGTGACCCCTCATTTGAACCAGTATGACTTTGTACTACCTGAGAATGCCTCCATATAAATACGATTAAACATGGCTTTTCTGTTCTTGGGGAAAAAAATTCCTTGATATTTCTAGGCAAAACTTTGATCCCCAATTGTGGCCCACCCTATCCAACCGCTACTTCCCGTTCATGACTTGAACAAAATTGAATCAACACTATTGAATCAACATCATGGCTTTGTGGTTCTTAAAAAGAAGAGTTTAAAAAATTCTGATGTATTCATTTCTATGGAAAACTTTAATCGTCCATTGTGGCCAAGGCCTACCCCTGGGGGTCATGATTTAAACAAACTTGAATCTACTGGTACACTACCTGAGGATGTTTTCACATAAGTTTCATCTTTCCTGGCCCAGTGGTTCTTGAGAAGAAGATTTTCAAAGATTTTTCCTACATATTCCTTTGTAAATCTTTGATCGTCAGTTGTGGCCCGGCCCTACACCCGAGGGTCATGATTTGAACAAAATTGAATCTACACTATCACAGGATGCTTCCAAATAAGCTTCATTTTTACTGGCCCAGTGGTTCTGGAGAAGATTTTTTTTTAAAAAATCACATATATTCCTATGTTTAACTTTGATCAACCATTGTGTCCGTGCCCTACCCCCAGGGGTCATGATTTGAACAAACTTGAATATACACTACCTGAGGATGCTTCCACATGCATTTCATCTTTTCCTTGCCTGGTGGTTCTGGAGAAGAAGACTTAAAAAATTTTTCCCATACATATTCATATGTAAAACTTTGATCAGCCACTGTGGCCCCGCCCTACCTCCGGGGGTCATGATTTGAACAAACTTGAATCTACACTACCTGTGGATGCTTTGACATGAGTTTCATCTTTCCTGGCCCGTTGGTTCTGGAGAAGAAGATTTTTAAAGATTTTCCTCTATATTCCTATGTAAAACTGTGATCGGCCATTGTGGCCCCGCCCTATCCCCGCAGGTCATGATTTTAACAAAATTGAATCTACACTATCTGAGAATGCTTCCACATAAGTTTCATCTTTCCTGGTCCGGTGGTTCTGGATAAGAAGATTAAATTTTAAAGATTTTTCCTTTATATTCCTATGTAAATCTGTGATCGGCCATTATGGCCCCGCCCTATCCCCCCGGTCATTATTTTAACAAAATTGAATCTACACTATCTGAGAATGCTTCAAAATGAGTTTCATTTTTCCTGGCCCAATGGTTCTTGAGAAGAAGATTTTTAAAAGATGTCATTAATTTTTTCATTAATTCATAATTATCTCCCCTTGGAAAAGGGCTTCGCCCTTCATTTGAAGAAACTTGAATTCCCTTCATCCAAGGATACTCTGTGGCAAGTTTGGTTGAAACTGGCAGAGTGGTTCTTGAGAAGAAGAGTTTACGACGATGACGAACCCGACAACTCCTACAATGACTACAAGGACAATGACAGACAACAGACAAATTTTGCCTTCGGCTCAGGTGAGCTAATAATACCAATTGCCATTGTTATCCATTGGAGCATGCAGTAGCACGTGACATGTTTTATTTTCTAAACAATTGACAGAGGACATATCTGGAATCGTAGGTTCTTGAAATTTCTGCAAAAGAAATGCATTTTAATTTTTTTTTAACGGACAGGAATACGGAACACATAATAGTTTTAGACTTATATCCCTACATACCAATGGGTTTCCTGTCGATACTGTTGTAACTGGTGATGTAAAATTGACTTTAAAGCAAATCTCATCCCCTTTCTCTCTGTAATTCAATAGGTCATTCATATTAGTAAATGAAATAAACAAGAAAACAAGCAGAAAAAAACATCCATTAACTTGAAAGGGATATAACGAGGGATGTCCCGACTTTGCAATGGATATGAAAACAAATATACGAAATTTAAACAGCGTCCTCAACATTATAATCAAACTGTTGTTTGTTTTAATGAACTAGGTTAAACAGTTGCCGTTTACATATACTTATTATATCTCAATGAATTCAAATGTATTCATTTTACATTATCAAGTGTTAAACAAAAATCAAAATTGCTTATTGCTCAAGTTATTAGCATTTCATACCAGAAATCTATTCAAAATCGACACACAACCGATAAAATCGATGTTAACATTTACCTGTTGTCTACGATGTGAGTACAAACAGTATGAACTCCTTCTTTTAAGCTGCTCATTTTTATATTTGTTTGAAATGTATCATTGGTTTTTCCTGGATAAGTAACAGTCTGTATGGGATGGGTAACCAAAGGACTGTCTGTATCAATTTGTGGACTACAATACAGTAAATGAAACTATGAAAGCAATCTCTTCATAAATGTTATTATTCCGTTTAAACTAAGTATTCAATTAAAAAAGATAACAACAATAAGCTAAAAATTGTGTATAGACTTACATATTTCCTGACTCCCCTTTTATTATTAAAGGAACACTACATGTGCTGCCGGTGGGACATTGAATGATATCTGGTATAGCTGTTTCCGTAAAGATAGGCTTAGTAGTGGTTGGCTGACAAGAGGAAAATACATGATATGTTTTTTGTTTCTACAATTTGTATTTTATTAACGTTTGGTCAAATTATTTCAATCTAATTGGTCTAATTTGAAACAATAATTACATTTAGATATATATAATTCCTTTAATTAATTTTAAATGTCCTTGGTTTTAATAAGAGAAAACAGACATCCTTACTGATATTTTAATTAATAGACTTTAGCCTTAACAATTTTCTGTCGAACTATTGTTACTCTTGTTTGTACCATTTTCACATATTATTCCAATTATTTTATAAACTGAACCGCATCAGAATTAATTGACTGTAGTTCTATATGATAAATTAAAAACACATAAATATAATTATGACCCCTGGTTTAGATTCTTTGTACCGGGGTATGATTGAAATTGGACCACACTACATAGATTACCATTTTTTAAAAAAAAAACATATTGTACCGCTAAAATGATATTTTAAATTATGAATAAATTTACGAATGTTATAATAGGTTTATAATCTAACAATTCTTTTTAAAATTGTATTGTTGACTAAACCCCATACAAAGATGGATTTCTTCTACCTCTGATACTGCATTTAAATTCAAAATGTCTTACCACCGTTGGTCCAGGGAATGTTGGTGAAATGTTGACTTCTAAAAACAGACGGAAAATGCATTGACTTAAGAATCTTGCATACACAGCTTAATTCAAATAAAAAGATTGATGAGAGTCTTCAAAAACGCGCATTGAATGATTTAAATAATCATTATCCAGTTTGTTCGTCAGATTTACAAAGGTATCGACGAAGTTGGAAATTGGATTATTGATGTAGGACGGGCTTTGTCCGTTGCTACGTTTCGAACTGTAGATGATGTCCTTAGTATACTCAGCTAACTAGACAATGATTCCTTATACTTCTATATGTGAAATAAAATTAAAAATTTAAATTGGAAAAATGATGTCTTATATAAACGATGCATCCAGTGTCAATTCCAGTAGTCCCCGCCCATGAAGTCAAACACAAAGACAGCTACACGAGATTGACATGCATATCTTTCAATTGGCGAAATTTTACGTTCAGGTTTAATTATCAAGAAATCAACTCACATAAAGTTCAAAGAGTTATCAAAGAGAAAACATTCAGATATGTAAATATTTTAAAATCATTACTGTGTGATAGGCAGTTTGTGTCGGAATATCCGACTGGACAGATGCATTGAGCGGTTGAAGACAGAGGGTCAGTTTCACATTTTCCTCCATTATGACATCGCATCTGCTGACAAGGACCGCCTAAGTAAATACATTTTATCTAAGAATATATAAAGTCCACTCGTTAAAACATACATTCAGATTGCTCAGATGTTGTAGCAAGATTCTTAATGATACCTTCTTTATTATCAATTTCAAAAGGAATTACCTACCAAATGTCTTGTTGTTATTCGTAACAACATGGACTGTGTAGCATCTTATATCCCCGCTTGCACTGAAATTGTGAAAAATAGATTCATCTGTAAAAAATATACAACATTAAAATTATTAATAAAATAATTGTTTCCAAATGATTATTATATACGTTTTATTTCCGACTCTGACACATAGGGTATGGATTCCTGGTACTTCCGGTTTTATTGACAGATCCACGTGACACAGTGATGATCCTTGACTATTTTCAGATGAAAACGCATGCGTATTGGCTATGGAAGAGGTAGCCGTGTTCTCCACATGAGGACTGCAAAGTGAACTATATAAATTAAGCAAGTGATTTTTGTTCACCAAGTGATTTCCGAATAGAATTGCTATATTTAACTTGCAAGTCTTGAGAAGCAAATGAAAGAATTATTTGAAAAAGAGACTGTAATTACTAAATTTATATGCAAATTTTGAAGCATGCTTTATTATCCATACCATTTGCTTGAACCAGGTATTGGAGTTGTGAAAAGAGGTATATGACAACTTTTCTCTCCATACTCGCATTGAAGAACAGTGCCGTTTGGCATCGAAGGTGAAGCTATCTTTGGTGACATCTATAATTCATAAGGTGATTTACATTGAAATTTATGGTTTTCTTATTCACTTAAAATATTCATTTCAAATGACCGATGAAGGGAAAGAAAACCTAAAACCACCACCAGGTTCGAAAAATGCTGAAATGGTATTGACGAGATGAAATAAAATGTGAAAGATAAACATTTTCACGGAAATATTGAAAAGAATGTCTAAATTGTTCTCTGTTTCTCAATTAATACATGTTTCATCTGTGTTATATAGAGAGCTTTTTGCATAAAAGACTATCCTTCGCCAATGTGAATCTGTATGAATTCTTCATCTAGAAGAATTGTTATATTGTTACTTCCTTTATTAGCCTTTCTTTATGTCAGAATCTTGGTATATAAACACGATACCTCTTTCAAACCTAATTCCCTTGTGACATTGGACCTTGTTAATGTATCAGAATCACTGCCTTTGTTATCTACAGTAGAGTTCCCTTTTCTCTATCCAACAAAAACTTTAATTTATAAAACTTCGTTCAGGTTTCTCAGTAAGAACAAGTAAAAACTAAGGCATGTATCAGTATATTCTTGATCGAAAATTGAATAGCAACATGCTTCACACTTATTTTAAAAAGACATTTATTTTCACCATTTGACGGGTGTATTTTCTGTACAGTATTCTTACTGGAGGAAAAGGAAAACTAAGAGTTTTGTTGTGATTTTTATAATTTCAACCGAGAAAGTATCATTTGCAAAAATTATCCCGTTTATTCAAAGAATACAGAACACTATTTTACTGTTGAAAATAGAAATATAACATAATAATTACATATTCAATTCAAGAAATTTTTAGGCGGGTAGACATATTGTAATGGATACTGAATTAATTAAGAATTGTTTGAAGAAATATTTGAATGCATTTTTCTACTACTGCTGACCACCCCTCCCCCCTTTTTTTGTTAGATAAAAAAACTTTCACGGTTACAAGTAAACTTAGTAGTACTGTTGTAAAAGAACGAAATTACCAAGAAATTCACCGTGTACATGTATCTGTGTTTATATGTTTTGCTTATATATATATAGTTTGCTTTGTATACTTGTGAAAGCCAATAAAAAAAGAATTGTTTTCTGCAACAAATTATTATTCAAAAAACTTGTCAAAGGTATTGTCAGAATTTCGAAATGCCTGTAACATTGAACTTTTAAAGATAAAGACAGAAAAAAACATTTTCCAGAATCTTGAGTGGATTGATTCTTTACAAAATTATCTGTTGACCTTCATTTGACTTTGCATTTGTACTCACTGTTGAAGGAGGTGAGGTAACCGTCACGTTAGGAAGAATTAATATTTTTATACAAACTTCATCTGTATTCCTGAAAAAAAGCAATTACTATGATACAAATAACCGCCAAAATATAGTTGAAATATCGCCAACTCGGAGTAAAACAACTTTAATCAATCAATCAATCAATCAATCAATCATGATACAGATACATGAATATACGAAAATAATTACGTATTCGAGTTCCTGGTCTGCACACAGACATGTTTGGTGCCCGATTCTGATGGTAGCACATGGAACTGTGCGATGCTTTGATTTAGGGGACTTGTTATGTGTTCTAATTCAATATTTTTGGGGCTTATTCCTTTGTCAATATGTCCAAAGAGAAGCGAACTCCTTCAAATAAATAGAGATAAGTTAAGAAAATAGATGCTCAAAACTTTTTTTACTTTGAGTTGAAAGAATTCAAGAAAATTAATTTTTTTTTTAAAATAAACATTAACTTTGTAATATATTATTACCTATTCAGTGGCTGACCATCAACTGGTAGGATAATTGGACAATCTTGTGCCAAATAACATACGATTTTCTTTGGTAACATTGTATCCACAAATATGGGAAGTTCCTAAAAATAACGGACAGTTGCGAGTATTTAAGAAATAAAGTCCGCGTTTTCGTGGATGTTGCAGGATAACCTCCGAGGTCGATAAATGTTGTTTGAAAGATAAAAGCCGAGGCGTTAGCCTAAAATCGCTAAAATACGGCTAATCGTTTCTTCTGTAGATAAACGAATTACGTCACCATGTCTCGATTACGCTGTTCCATTTAACACCAGAGGGAAAATTTGTTTGCTTACCTGTGTATGGAATGCAGACGATATGAGCTTTCGTTGCATTAAAATAGTCTTTTTAAATTGCAAATTTGTTCGTAATATGTATTGATTAGTTTAAATGAATATATAGTAACAGAATCTTGTTCCTGTTTTACTGCTCTATTGATAACAAGAGGCCCAAGGGCCTTGAATCGCTCTTCTGATAAATTGTACAATCTATCACTTCTATTAGAAGCCTCCAACATTAGTATCATAAGACCCAAAATGCATCAACTTACAAAATTTGATAATATTTAGCCAGTTAAGACTGAAGATATTATAATATAATTATAAAATACCATAAGTAGGTCAAAGTGACCTACCTTTTGATGGAAATTTTCTGAGGACTCAAGATACATTCATTGACAAAGACTGATGATTCTAATTAAATAAATACCTGAAATATTCAAAAGTAGATCACCACACCATGACTTACTTTTGGTCAACATTCTCTGAAAACCCAAGATGCATCATCTGACAAAGTTTAACGATTCTAAGCCAATTAGTACCAGAGATAATTAAATATAGCCATCAAATGTCAAAAGTAGGTCAAGGTGACCTACTTTTTGGTCGACGTTATCCAAAAACCCAAGATGCCTAAACTGACAAAATTTGATGATTCTAAGCCAATAAGTACCTAAGATATTCAAAAGTAGGTCACCGTGACCTACGTCTTGTTGGACATTCAATGAAACCATAAGATGCCTCAACTGACAAAGTTTGATGATTCCGAGCAAATAAGTACCAATATAAATTTAATATAGCCATAAAATGTCAAAAGGAGGTCACGGTGACCTACTTTTTGGTCGACATTCTCCGAAAACCCAAGATGCCTCAACTGACAAAGTTTGATGATTCTTAGCCAATAAGTGCCTGAGATACTTAAATATAGCCATAAAATGTCAAAAGTAGGTCACTGTGACCTACTTTTTGGTCGACCATCTCCGAAAACGCAAGATGCATCAACTGACAAAGTTTGATGATTTTAGGTCAATAAGTACTAGAGATACATAATTATAGCCACAAAATGTCAAAAGTAGGTCACCATGACCTACGTTTTGGTCGTCACTCTCTGAAAACCCAAGATGCATCAACTCACAAAGTTTGATGATTCTAAGCCAATAAAAAAAGTACTGGAGATACTTAAATAAAGCCATAAAATGTCAAAAGTAGGTCACCGTGACCTACTTTTTGGTTGTCACTCTTCGAAAACCAAATATGCATCCACTCACAAAGTTTGATGATTCTAAGCCAATAAATACCTAAGATACTTAAATATAGCCATAAAATGTTCAAAGTAGGTCATCATGACCTACATTTTGGTTGACATTTTTCAAAGACCTGAGATGCATCTACTGACCAAGTTTGATGATCGTAAATCATGAAGGTAATCAAAATATGCATTTTAAACAATTTGAAAACAAATGTCGGCAAAATTCAAAAAGTAGGTCACAGTGACCGACTTTTTCATAAATATGTTTTAAGGTCCCAAGATGCATCAAAGTACAAGATTTGATGATTCTAAACCTTCCAGTGCCTGAAATAATGGGATTTAATGTTTTTAAGAGGATAAGTCATAAAGTTCAAAAAGTAGGTCACGGTGACCTACTTTTAAGCTGACAATGTTCGAAGACCCAAGATGCATCAACTGACAAAGTTTGATGATCATAGGCCTTAAAGTGTCCAAAATATGCCTTCAAATCAATTTGAAAACAAATCCCCGCAAAATTTAAAAAGTAGGTCACCGTGACCTACTTTTGAATTAACATGATGTGAAGTCGTAAGATGCATCAACTTACAAGATTTGATGATCCTAGTCCTTATAGTAAGCAAAATATACACGTTTTTATTAATTGTAAATTTAGGTCAACTTTGAAGTGACCTTGAGACCACGCCCTTTGCCCCAGGGTAATTCCCCGTGCAAATTTTAATCTTCGACATATTCTGATCCTTGTATGTAAGTTTGGTAAAAATCTGCCTGGTGGTTATGGAGAAGAAGATTTTTTAGCAACCAGTACTTTTGGTTTTGTTTTCCTGATTATCTCCCCTTGTTTAAGGGTCCCAACCCTTATTTTAGTACAAATGGTAGCCCTTGGGCCAAGGATACCCTGTGACAAATTTGGTACTGATTGGCCAAGGGGTTCTTGAGTTATGGGCCATGTTCTAAAAAGTTTACGCACACCGCACACCGCATACCGCACAAATGGCCATAGCATTAGCTCTTTGAGCCTTTGGCTCAGAAGAGTTAATAAAAGCACGTTGTTTAAATGTGTAGGGAGGTCCGTGGAATAGCCCCGCTTAGCTAAAAATAAAAACCGACATTCATCAACAACTTCATGCAATTTACAGTGTTTATACTGCAAAAGACGACACATCGATGTGGTCTAAACAAGTATTTCATTCTACAGCCAAACATGCATTTGAATTGTTCGGGTTTGATAAGTGTTTCTGATCTGATATTTTTTTGATGACGTTCGTGATTTATTGGAGAATAATGTCCGCGGAATTTCTTTGATATCGGCAATAATCGTAATAGAATATTAGATATTTTACTGAGATATTTTATGGAGATAAGTATTTGATCAACCTTCGTATCTACTTACATTTGTTGAAGTTGTATTTTTTCTGGGTATTGGCAAAGGCTTGACTGAATATGAAAAGAAATTTAGCTTAAGGATGCAGTAGAATGGAGGATGAAGGATATGAGATTGAATTGTAATTCACTACAAATGCATCAAATACAAGACACCGAAATTATCCTTTTTACTTTACAATTTTCTTAACGTACATGGGGCATTTGTTATCTTTTTTCAAAAGTTTTATTTCAATGTATAATATTTAAACTAATCAGAAAATAAATCGTCAAAATGTTCATTTTTTTGCTTTCATTGTCTTCTTTCTGTTTAGAAGCATTTTGTATAGAAAATAAAATTGTATACTGTAAATCTGGATTGTATAATCATAATAGATCTCCTAATTGGTATGAATGCATCTTAAAATTGGCACACATTAATCATGATTATTTGAGGTGGGTTAGACGCATATAACCTGTTTTGTAGTGAAAATGGAAAACCTTTACTGCATTAACTTTTCACAACATAATCCGGAATACTATACATATGTACATTTAAACGTTGAATGAGTATGATATCTAAATAAAATAATAAAATGATTTTTTAGGATGAATCAAAAATAAATGGTAAGTCTTCAAAAATATAAGACCAGTTCATTTCAATTATAATTTTAATTATTCCTTTTTAATAAAAAAAAATTGAAAAAAAACTCCTGACGCCAAGTTTAAACGAGGTACGGTAAACAGACTCTAATCTACCTAATAAATACCTTTCTTTTCACAGTTCTGTCCTTCTAACCCAGTCTTACAGACACAAGTGTGATTGACATAATCAGAAGTTCTACAAAATCCATTCCCCTGACATGGATTTGGATTGCAGGGGGAACTGCCTATAAATATGAAGAGTATACAATTTACTGGAAAAAATAACTGTGTTAGAGAAAATATGAAAAAAAATCAAGTAATATTAACATTAACTTAAGAAAACGATTCAATTATTCTTTACTTGATTTACATAAGTGGGTACAAACTTGTTATGTTTTTCACTGCATTCACCATAATGCATCTTCTATCAGAGCTGTTGAAAACAAAATAGGGATTCAAGATTTGCATACAGATTTCAAGGATTATAATTTTGACGATTTTCTGAATTACTGATGAATTCATTTTTTTTCAAAATATAAGAAAATTAAAAACTCATAAGAACCTGAATGTTTCTACACATATCTTTTTATTCTCCCCAGGCTTTACTAGAGTTGCCACATCGGTAACACACAAAGACTGATTAAATGTTGTCTCAGCTGTATTCAGAACAACAGTTCCGGTGGTAACTGGGAACTGCCTTGGAATAGTACTGCAAAAGACATATGAATGCATTAGTTACTCCAGTATATGTACCAAAGAACATTGCTACAATACAATGATAAATTTAAAAGGTTTCTGATCTTAAGCTAAGATTACACAAGAATTTGTAGAAACTTTACTCACCAACTGTCATTGTTAAACTTTACAGAATGAATAAGTAGATGACACACGGTGCTTTCTATACAGATGACAGATGACTCGTCCGGAATGGTTGGTTCCTGGATAATCTACAAGCATAGTTACTTGTATGCTTTTATAATTTATCTATTTTTTAAACATATTTTTAAAAAAATAAAAATATGATTCTTTGAAATTCTTTCAGATCAACAGCAAATAAGGTTTAAATTATATTTATTTAGATGAAAAGAAATATAACCCCTCCGGAAAACGTTAAAACTGTGAAATTGATGAGTACCTTCGCAGCATTAGAGGACAGTGTATGCTTTGAAGTGATGTTGACCTTAAAGCAAACTTTATCTCCCTTTGTTCTGTGAAAAACGTGTTAAAAATTATACCATTAATATAAATACATGCTAATGCAAATATGTAAATCTTGGATTTCTTAATGATTTCTGTATTTCAAAGTTTTGTCTTACCCAATTTGCACACATATCTTTTGCAGTTCCTCCTTTGTACCGGATACTTTTATATTTGTTTGGTATGTAGAATTTGAATGTCCAGGGTAGTTTACTGTGGGTATTGGTTTATGAACGAGTGGACTGTTAGTTTTCACCTCTGGACTACAAATAATACAATATACAATATTTTAAGCAATTTGTAAAATATCTTTCACTTTTATTTTTACAAATGAGAATCTATATTTTCTAGAGTTTGGCGTCTTAACAACTTCTTATTGTATCAAAAGAACTTTCAGTTGAAATTAGAAATTTTAGATTACTAATTACGTTAAGACTTTTAATACATATGGTGTTGTAACTTGCAACAGAATGCATACATACATTTCACCTGGAGGTCCTGTGATTATCAGGGGTATACCGCATTCAGTGTTGATGGGACACTGTATGACATTTGGAATGGCTGTGTCCGTAAATGTATGAGTAGATATTGTAGGCTGTTATATTTGGAATATAAAAATTAAAATCCATTATTGTGGTTTCATATTCAAACCTTTAGTTATGAAAAAAAATTGCTGCTGTGAAGGTACATTATATGCTTGTCTGGTAGGCAGGTCATCAAAATTAACTTATGAGCCAAAATATCTGAAGATAACCCTAACCCTAACCCTCAACCGACAAGAATTGACAAGTGTGTCTTACTTAAAGCAAGTTTTACAATGTGCAAGATATGATAAAAAATTATCATTAAATTATCGTCAATCTTACCATGGTTGTTCCTGGAACAGTGGTATCTACAAGCACCGTAAATGTCATTAATATTACCATGCATATGCAATCAACATCAGCAACATTAAAACAATACGATACAAAAGACGATAAATAGCTTACAAGTGAAAAAAAAATTGTGTTGGCTAGATGTCCACTTATTTTCACACAAATTGAGACGCCAATGTTTGCAGACTGAGTCTGCAAATTTGCAACTTTATTCAATTGAGTTATGAATGAGGAAAAATTTTCATTCAATAACTAACAAGTTTGAATTAAAAATCGTCATTACTTGTCAAACAGTTTGAACCCGAAATTCCAACTGGGCAGATACATTGAGCAGTCCAAGATACAGGATCAGCCTCGCATTTTCCACCGTTATGACAATGTTTCTCCTGGCAAGGACCGCCTAATTCGAATAAAATGAAAAAAATCTGTATGATGCAGAAAAAAAAAAACTATTAACAAAACACTCTGAAACCACAATAATCATACCAAACTGCTTACCGAATGTTTTGTTATTTTTAGTGACAACTTGGATGGTGTAACATCTAACATCACCATCATTACTGCAAAATAATCAACAAATAATCAACAATATCATTAACCTTCACGCAAATTTAAAGAATAATTGTTTCCAAATGATTTTTATTACATACGTTTTATTTCCCACTCTGACACATAGGGTATGAATTCCTGGTACTTCCGGTTTTACTGATAGATCCACGTGACACAGTGATGATCCTTGACTATTTTCAGATGAAAACGCATGCGTATTAGATATGGAAGAAAAAGCCGTGTTCTCCACATCAGGACTGCAAAGTGAACCAATATAAATTAAGCAAGTGATTTTTGTTCACCAAGTGATTTCCGAATAGAATTGGTATATTTAACTTGCAAGTCTTGAGAAGCAAATGAAAGAATTATTTGAAAAAGAGTCTGTAATTACTAATTTTATATGAAAATTTAAGCATGTTTTATCATCCATACCATTTGCTTGAACCAGGTATTGGATTTGTGAAAAGAGGTATGTGACAACTTTTCTCTCCATACTCGCATTGAAGAACAGTGCCGTTTGGCATCGAAGGTGAGGTTATCTTTGGTGACATCTATAATTCATAAGGTGATTTACATTGAAATTTACGGTTTTCTTATTCACTTAAGATATTCATTCCGAATGACCGATGAAGGGAAAGAAAACCTAAAACCACCACCATGTTCGAGAAATTCTGAAATGATATTGACGAGATGGAAATTTTGAAAAGAATCTCTGAATTGTTCTATGTTTTTCAATTAACACATGTTTCATCTGTGTTGTATAGAGAGTTTTTCGCATAAAAGACTATCCTTCGCCAATGTGAATCTGTATGAATTCTTCATCTAAAAGAATTGTTATATTGTTACTTCTCTTATTAGCCTCTCTTTTTCTCAGAATCTTGGTATCTAATCACGAAATTTTTTTGGCGGGTAGAAATATTATAACGAATACTGAATTTATTAAGAATTGTTTTCTGTAACAAATTATTATTCAAAAACCTGTTTAAGGATATTGTCAGAATGAAATGCCTGTAACTTTTTAAGATAAAGACAGAAAAAAACATTTTTCAGATTCTTGAGTGGATTGATTCTTTACATGATTATCTGTTGACCATGATTTCACTATGCATTACTCACTGTTGAAGGGGGTGAGGTAGCCGTCACGTTAGGAAGAATTATTATTTTTATACAAACTTCATCTGTATTCCTGTAAAAAAGCAATTACTATCATACAAACACCCGCCAAAATACAGCTGAAATATCGTCAACTCGGAGTAAAACAACAATTATCAATCAATCAATCATGATACAGATACATGAATATACGAAAATAATTACGTATTCGAGTTCCTGGTCTGCACACAGACATGTTTGGTGCCCGATTCTGATGGTAACACATGGAACTGTGCGATGCTTTGATTTAGGGGACTTGTTATGTGTTCTAATTCAATATTTTTGGGGCTTATTCCTTTGTCAATATGTCCAAAGAGAAGCGAACTCCTTCAAATAAATAGAGATAAGTTTTAAAAATATATGCTCATAACTTTTTTTTTTAAATTTGCGTTGAAAGTCATCAATATTTTTTTTAAAATAAACATTATTCATGTAATTTATTATCAAGAGCCTTTATTACCTATTCAGTGGCTGACCGTCAACTGGAAGGATAATTGGACAATCTTGTGCCAAATAACATACGATTTCCTTTGGTAACATTGTATCCACAAATACGGGAAGTTCCTTAAAATAACGAACAGTTGCGCGTGTTATTAGATATTTAGTGAGATATTTTATGAAGATGAGCAATTGATCAACCTTCGTATCTACTTACATTTGTTAAAGTTGTATTTTGTCTGGGTATTGGCAAAGGCTTATCTGAAGATGAAAAGATAATAAGCTTATGAATGCAGTAGAATGGAGAATGAAGGAAATGAGATTGAATTAAAAATGATTTAAATAGAAGACACCAAAAAGAACTGCGAACGATAGTATTGTTCTCCCGCCTACCTCCAAGTTAATTTTCAAAATGTAACATATTCGATGAATTTTTAATATTTTTTTTTATAGATAATGATATGGATTTTCATAAAACATTACTTAATTGGGAAAACAAAGAGAGATAACCTTAAAATTTTGGTAAGACTTGTGTTTTTCACTATAGAAATCAAGGGAAAACGGAAAATATTTTTAAAACATCTTCGCCCCCCCCCCGTGTCACTAAAATTCCTTTTTACAGGTAATATGGAATGTTATTTCACAAATTCAAACCAAATATTTTTGTGTGACTCGGGGTAACATGTGTTTATTGAAAAACGATGAAAATGCTTATTTTCCACCAATTTCAAAGCGAGTTACAACTGAAACAATATATTTTATGCATATATTTATATATGTATAAGAAAAGATATAAGGAACATTTAATCATATTCAAGATTATTTCAAAATATGGTGATACTTGAAAATCCGATTTCAATGGAAAATTTCGTCTAACCCCCTTTTTTCAAGAGCTGGAATTATGGATAATTTACTGTTTAGTGCTGGTATTAAGACAATTCATCAATTACCAACGAAGATTTTATGGCCAAATTGCTATTTATATTGAATTAAATAGTTCCAAAATGTAGGCGGGAATCGATAGTAAGCGTGCGTATTTCTTTAATTTTTACTTTACAATTTTCTTATCGTACATCGGGTATTTGTTATCTTTTTTGGCACAAGTTTGATTTCAATTCATCAAAATTAAAAAAAACAATCAGAAAATAAATTGTCAAAATTTTCATTAACTCCTATTTGGTATGATTGCATCTTAAAATTAATACACATTTATCGTGATTATTTAGGTGCATTAGACGCATATAATATGTTTTATAGTGAAAATGAAAAACCTTTACTGCGTTAACTTTTTGCGACATAACCAAGAATGCTATAAATATATACATTGAAACGTTGAATGAGTAAGATAATTAAATAAAATATTATATTGATTTTTTAGGATAAGAGCAATGAATAAAAAATTAGTAGTAAATCTCCAAAACAAAAAATATGCATGAAATATTGCCGACTCGGCGTAAAAAACCCATTCAATCAATCAAAACATAAGACCTGTTCATTTCAAATGATTATTCCTTTTAAATAAAAAAAAAATAGCAAAAAAAACCTTTGACGCCAAAATAACACGAAATACGGTATACAGACTCTAATCCACTAATAATTACCTTTCTTTTCACAGTTCTGTCCCTCTAAGCCAGTTTTACAGACACAAGTGTGATTGACATAATCAGAAGTTCTACAAAATCCTTCCCCCTGACATGGATTTGGATTGCAGGGGGAACTGCCTAAAAATATGAAGAAAATACAATGTACTGAAAATAATTGTTTTAGAGAAAATATGAAAAAATCAGGTAATATCTGTATTAACTAAAAAAATTTTGGAAACAATTTAATCATAATTTACTTATTTAATTTACATAAATGGGTACAAACTTGTTATGTTTTTCACTGCATTCACAATAATGCATCTTCTATCAGAACTGTTGAAAACAAAAAAAAAGGATTCAAGATGTGCATACAGATTTCAAACAATTATAATTTTGTCGATTTTCGATTTTCTGTATTACGGATGAAATCATTTTTTGTGCGCAATATAAAAGAAAGTCATAAGAACCTGAATGTTTCTACACATATCTTTTTATTCTCCCCAGGCTTTACTAGAGTTGCCACATCGGTAACACACAAAGACTGATTGAATGTTGTCTCTGCTGTCTTCAGAACAACAGTTCCGGGGGTAACTTGGGACTGCCTTGGAATAGTACTGCAAAGGGAACATTATTACATTAGCTATATGTACCAAAGAACACTGCTACAATACAATGATAATTTCAAAGGTTTCTGATTTTCAACTAAGATTACAACTTTTTCTCACCAACTGTCATTGTTAAACTTTGTAGAATGTATAAGTAGATGACAAACTGTGTTTTCTACACAGACAACAGAGGACTCGTCAGGAATGGTTGGTTCCTGGATACTCTACAAAACCAGTAAATTTAGTATTATTTTATATATCCATGCTTTTTTTTTAATTGAAAACATAAATATTTTTTTTTAATCTTTGAGATCAATCGCAGAAAAATACATTATTTTATATTTGGATATAAAGAAACACAACCCCTCTGGAATACGTTGTAAGCCGTAAAATCAATATGTACCTTTGTAGAATTAGCGGATGGCGTATGCTTTGAAGTAATATTGACCTTAACGCAAATCTCAGCTCCCTTTGTTCTGTGAAAAAGTTTAAATATTACATCATGAATATAAATACATTTACGGGTATATGCAAATCTTAGACTTCTTAATGTTTTCTACATTTAAAAGTTTTGACATACCCGATTTCCACACATATCTTTTTCAGTTCTTCCTTGGTACCGGATACTTTTATATTTGTTTGGTATGTAGAATTTGAATGTCCAGGATAATTTATGGTTGGTATCGGCTTATGAACGAGTGGACTGTTAGTTTTCACATCTGGACTACAAATTATACAATATTTCTTAAAATTCGTAATTTTTCACATTTTTTACAAATGAGAATCTGTATTTTCTAGGGTTTTGACGTCTTAATTTTGATTATAGACTTTACATGGTGTTGTAACATGCAACAGAAAAGATACATACATGTCACCTGGAGGTCCTGTGATTATCAAGGGTATACCACACTCAGTATTGATAGGACACTGTATAACATTTGGAATGGCTGTGTCCGTAAATGTATGGGAAGGTATTGTAGGCTGTTACATTTGGAATATAAAAAATAAAATTCATCATTGTATCTCTCTGGGAGTGTGGTTTCATTTACAAAACCTTGTTGATAATAAGAATGTGCTGTTGTGAAGATACATTATACATGTATGCTTGTGTCGGGTAAGCAAGTCATCATAATTAACGTATGAGCCACAATTCATGAAGATACGTCAAGTTTTACAATGTTCAAGATATGATATAAAATTATCATTAAATTATCTTCAATCTTACCGTGGTTGTTCCTGGAACGGTGGTATCTACAAGCACCGTAAATGTCATTAATGTTACCATGCATATGCAATCAACATCAGCAAAATTAAAACAATGCCAAAGATGATGAATAGCTTTTAATAAGAAACAATTTCTTTGTTGGCTTTATGACCTCTTAATTTCACACATGTTAGGACACCAATGATTGCAGACTGAATTGCAAATTACAAGGTAGGGTAACGGCCAAATCTGGCCCATTATTTGATGCAAAAATCAGAACATTGGTAACATTTTGATAGTTTGTAGTTAAGAACTTAAAATGATGCTTGCTTTAAAACCAGCACTAATTTTGATTCAAAGCTACCATGGAAGCCACCAGAGGGTGCAGAAGTAGGAAATTTCCAGAATTTCTTCAATTCTGATAGAATTTCATCATTTTTTGAGATACTTTTCTCTTCAGAAAACATAGAGCACAAGCCTATCTGAGATTTTCACCCATAAACTGCATCTGATACTAGTTTATAAAATACATGTATATAAATTTGGTAGATAGGCAAGCTTGTGCTCTATGCTTTCCGAAACAAAATGTGCTGTAAAATCGATGAAAATCTTTATGAAAATGAGAAATTTCAAAAATTGAAAAGTCTTGAAAAAAAAATTGAAGTCTATTTTCTGACTTCACTATGACAACTGTGTATTTCAAAACTTAGAACCAATACTCAATTTGTGGCAGGTGTGACAACAGGTTTTCATTTATAAACTGTTGCAACATTCTGTAAGACACACGAAATCAAGGGCCAAAAAGAGCTCTTACCCTATGTTGTACTTAACAACTTTATTCAAATGAGTTATGCGTGAGGAATATTTTTCATTCAAAAACCAACAAGCTTAAATTAAAAACATCATTACTTGTTAAACAATTTGAATCCGAAATTTCAACTGGGCAGATACACTGAGCAGTCCATGATACAGGATCAGCCTCGCATCTTCCCCCATTATGACAATGTTTATCCTGGCAAGGACCGCCTAATTCGAATAAAAAAAAAATGTATATCACGCAGGTAAAAAATCAAAAATCTAGAAACTGCAATAATTAAACGGAAATGCTTACCAAATGTCTTGTTATTGTTAGTGACAACTTGGATAGTGTAACATCTAACATCACCATCATTACTGCAAATAAAACAATATCAATAACCTTCACGCAAAGACAGAAGGGTTTTAGTATGATAATAGTTAAATATTCATCCAGTGAAATAATATAAGATATATACTTCTTATCTTTGGCTCTGACACATAATGTGTGATTTCCTGGCCTTTTCGGTTTCACAGACAAATCCAAGTGACAAACAGATCCAAGATTATTCAAAGAAGAAAATGCATGGACATTGGGTGTGGAGGAAGAAGCCATGTTCTCAATATCAGGACTGTAGAAATTAAACAAATAAATTAGATATATAAATTTATTGATAGATAAGAAAAATAATTTCTTCTTTTTTTAAATCCACGTGCATTGCAACTCTCTTTTTTTTTTTAATAAAAAAATAACTAACAGTACCCAATGCCTCAGAGAAAAATGTGTGAAATTTGAAATATCCTGTTTAAATCAAATTAAAAATTAAATTCCCTGTATATTTAAATGTAAATTCAAAACAATTGCAAATTGGGTTATGTTGAATGAAAATATTCCTTTAACAATTACACAAGGAGAAAATGCACTGCAATAACATTAATCATGAATTGAATAACTGAATAGAAAAGCACCATTTAGTTGATCCTTTGGTTGGTGTTGTGTAGAGAGGTATGTGACAACTCTCCTCTCCTAACTCACACTGGAGAACAGAACCATTGGCCATCGAAGGTGAGATTATTTTTGGATTCAGCTAGAATGAACATTTTTTAATGAAATAAATAGCAATTACTTTAAATGTAATAAATGTACATTGGTTTCATCATTGATAAAAGTTTCTAATATACTCACTATTGAAGGGGTTGTTGTGGTGTGATTCGCAAGAATTTTGACTTTGATGCAAACTTCATCCGTATTTCTATATAAGAAAAAAATGACTTCACTGTGAACAAAACAATTATTTTGTTCGTAACTTATTTTTATATTTGACTTAAACATTAATAAAAAAAAAAAACCTTTGATATGATTTCATTTTGTTGTGTATTGATATAGTTTAACACTGTTAAATGAATAATTAGAAATGAACTTGCATGTTTAAGTTTCTGGTTTGAACACAAACATGTTTAGTCCCAGATTCAGATGGTATTACATGGAAGTGCGCGATGCTTTGATTAAGAGGGCTTGTTATGTTCTCTAGTTCAATACTTTGAGGACTTATTCCTTTATCCAAATGTCCAAAGAGAAGTGAGCTCCTTTAAAATAAACATGAATAACATTAAATGTGTGTACCAATATTGTACTGGAAGTTAAACAGATGTTAAAACTAATAACACCACGCATTATGATAATATATTTACATCCACTGAATTTTTTCTCCTTTATTTCTTAAGAAAACCCATTGCGTTAATCACTGCATGAACTACATTAGGCATGTCGCCTGTACAGATTTCTTGATCAGTGGCTGTTCCATCAATGAAACTTATAAAGACATTCTCATCATTAATACAATAATTAAACTTTTTAATCCTTCTTTAAATGACTATTTAAACAGATATAAATATAAACAATTAAATGTCTTTCTTTGTTTGTTATTACTGGAATTAACGGTCGCAGCTATTGCAGAAAAAATTAAAATAACCCGCTTACGCGGGTTATGTTTTTTTTTCTGCAACAGCTGCTTCCGTTAATTCCAGTAATAACAAACAAAGAAAGCATTTTATTGTTTAAATAAAATAAATAAAACCGATCCAATAAATAAATTTCATACTCATTTACAGGATGTCCATCGACTGGCAAAGTGATTAGACAATCTTGTGCTGTATAGCACACGATCTCCTTCGGCAACATTGTATCCACAAATACAGGAGAAGTCTATAATGAATTCACAAGATATAAATATTTTACATGTAAAAGAAAAATTGTCAATATCAATAATGAAGTGATTATTTAAAAGTTACATATTCAAAAATAAGTAAATTACTTACATTTGTTGAATTTGTACTTTGTCTTGGTATTGGTTTAGGTTTTACTGAAAAAATAACATTCTTTGAATGGAGTCTTACGATAGAATAGAATGTAAACATTGTGGAAGTTATATTGATTACATAATTCAAAATTGTAACCGTTGTTTCCTTATCAAGGAATGTTTTGTAAAAAATGGATTAATTAATTCAATTTAATGATTAATTCATTATACATAATTCAAATATCGTTATCCTCAACAGATTTTGTTGTGTTTTTATTTACCTTTCTTTTCACAATTAGGCCCTCCTAGACCAGTCTTACAAACACAGATGTGATTGACATAATCAGAAGTGAAACAAAA